CTTTGTTTGTTTCGCTAACTTGCAGGAACGAGCAAAAAATGTTACATAGTAATACATGTTCAAATAAAATAACCCACTATTAACTATTATCATTTAATTAGGATGAAGAGGAAGGAGAGGATGGCTGGTTCTTTAAAACTCTCATTGATTGATTAATTAATTAATTAAGAAGCTTGATCGATCATTCTCTTCCTCTCTCATTTTTTTCTGTCCAAATGCATTTGGAATGAATACAATATACAGTTTTATTTCCAAGAATTTCTCTCGTCCTGCAGGCTAATATATATATATCACATGCTACTCGTAATTGAGCAAAATACAAATCACATGCTGTTATTCTGATAGAGGTCTGGATTAATTAATTAATATATTTAAAGCCTGTTTTGTTGTCGGATAAATATCTTCTTAACTATCACCTCCCCGTAGTTTATCGGGGAATACTTATTTGTTTATTATACTGTGTCTTTTATATATGATAATTTTAGGTATGACAAAAATATTCGTGTATATCCTTTCGAATTTGGTCTAATTCGGGTAAAATTCAAACTCGAAAGACATGTAGTGGGTACGGGTAAAATCCGAACCCGAATATTGCAGGTAATGGGTGGACATGGGTTTCTCACTTTCCAACTCGAACCCATCCGATTATACACATACATATGTATTTTGTCTATAAATAATCATTATTTTTTCTAACATATTTTATATTTAGCATATAAATATAATATTTTTCATGAAATTGTGTTGTTTTAATTAATTTTCTTCATTCTAGTGAATTATTATCGTACATTTTCCTTTACGTAATGTGAGAATATGTGTGAATGTTAACATATTGGTTGGAGTTATAAAGATAAATTATTACTCATGGATAACCATGAATATCCGAACTCAAACGGGTATGGGCATGATTTTGCTTTTCTACTCGTTTCACATGTGAGTATGAGTATGGATAAAAATTCGAACTACTTTGAGTAGGATAACGAATATGCATTATCTGCTTCTGACCTGACCGATTGCCATCCTAGATGATTCGGATGAATTTTAAAGGGAAAGGTAGGGGGAGAGTGTACGTAGGTGAATATGCTACGAATTAAACCCAACGAAAATGACAAGTCATTATCGAGATGTCATATTAATTATGGGGGGAAAAAATGCAAAGCCAAGTAGTTGTAGATTGGGTTACTCTAAAAATATTAGAATAATAACATCCAAACAAACCCTTTTCGCACCAATTAATTGGTTTTTGGAGTCCTACTATACGTACCTAGCTAGCGTGATTTGTTTTTATGAACAGTACAGAAAGGCAGGTTCATAAATTTTCACTCCCTCAAACTTTAGACCTTAATTAATTTGTTCTACTTTTAATTAAGTAGGGTGCATCAAAGTTATTTGTAAACCATTACAAAGAACTTACAGATTTTCAAATTAAAACTTATATAAAATATTTGTAAACATTTATTTGTCCAATTTACAACAAAAAAAAAAAATTTGTTAACCATTTCCAACAGACAGTGATAATTATGCGTACTTGAAGTTCAAGTGTACTAAGGCATGCGCTAACACAAAAGTTGGGTTAAGATTGTTTATGCCAATGGACACTAGCACATACGTTTTAGAGTACTCTAATCAATAAAAAGTAGACGAATTGGGCAAACAGTCCTGTTTATGCCAATGGAGTCATGGAGAGCCCCTAAACCTCATAAATTATCCAATTACAAAGAATGGGATCGGATAAAAGAAACATATGTAAACCCATAGGGACTAAATGACCACAACTAGTGAGATAATTTACACAGTTGTTACCTTCTCTATAAATGTGTGATATAAACACCTCCAATTGTCGATGAAGCAACCTATTTAAATTTAAAATTTTGTACAAATGAAAGGTGAAATTTTTCAACAAAATTTTAGGTCGAATTTCGCCAATTGACAGACTTCTTTTTAGGATAGATTCGCTCCTGATCACGTCAATCTGTATCTTACCAAGTGAGCTATCCTTTGTTTAGGGTAACTTAGTAGCGATACTTGTTTTCCTCTTGCTGTCAAATTAGGTGTGTAGTCTTTCCATGGGGTGTGGGGTCTTTTTTGTTATGTTGCATTTGCAAGTTGTGACGGGAGCAACTTTGCGTTTAGAATTATAAAGGGAAGAGAAAGTAAAGGATATTTACGTGAAAAGAAAGAAAATGAGGGGGGAAAAGGAAGATGTATACAAAAGCCCATGAAGAATGGGACTCTTTCACTGTTGAGGTTCGTCGATCGAAATCAACCTCTCGACAGCAATTTGACTAATTGTAAAGAGAAAATTAAGGAAAATACCCACCACAGGAAAATTTATTTATTTTTTACTTTCTCTTGCTACGTAAGTAAAAAATATGAACATTTACTTCTCGAAAATGACAAAGCTATATCTATCTATGTATAGCTGCTACGTACCTAACGTAGCTAGCTAGAGCGTAATGTTTGCATGGTGATGACTCTATATATCATTTATGTATGAATGATACATATTCCTTTTCCGTGGCGGAGCCCGGATTCGGAAGTATTTGTGTCATCTTTCCAAAATATAATTAAAAATAATAATATCCAAATGATTCATTAGAAATAACCATTTAATACAATCATTGTTTTCATAATCAACCACTAAACACATTTTCATATTAGGAGTTAAATTTATGTCATCTTTTAAACAATAAATGTCTTATAATTTAATGGTATAATACTCTTATGTAACCTAGAGATCATGAATTCAATACTTAATTTATACATATATGGGTACGTTTTTTTACCCAAAAATTACATGTTTCCTAGGACACATCCCAACCCCTTAGCTCCACCTATGCTCCTTTCCCTCTTCTCCCCCGGTAAGGAAAACGAGTAATCTCACTTTGTGTAGTTAACGTGACAATAAAATAAAAATAGTTATATTCGCAGTATTCAAAAACTTTCATTCTCAATTATTAGATCGACTGCGAAAATCTTTTTTTCCCAACATGCAGCGATGATCCATGTCCTACCGTGTCAAAATATGAACAAAATCAAACGAACACAAGAGTTTTTTTAACGTGGTATTGTCAATATTACATTAGTCTACGGAGAGGATCTCTCTCAGGATTTTGCTTCCTTTTTTTCATTAATCATCTCATACAGTTTATGACGATATCTATAGGCTTGCTATAACAAGCCCTACCTACAATTACATTATGGTACCTATATTTAACATACCGATCATAATTAAATTTTGAAAAGTGGAATTAGTTTATTATTGCTTGCCCTTGTTATTGATTTTTTTAAAAGGGTGACATGAGTTGATTTATATAATTAGGTGCTACCGAAAAGATTCAAATTTGGGACCTCCAAATTCAAAACTAATGATATTGTCACTAGGATAAGTCCTTGTGGGCACTTTGTCATTTATATTTGAGAATGAATGCTCAGCCAATTTTGCCATACGGCGGATCGAGAGCACAATTCAGTGTTATATTCATAACACACTATTAGCATATGAGTATAACAGTAACCAACTTCCGTTTTGGGCTTTGGGATGGATTGCTACAATCCCATTTTCATATTTATTTGCATTTGTAAAATTCATTGTTATTTGCAATTCTTTACCAAAATTCAACTTGAAGGCAATTGTATAGAAAAACACATATCATTTAGAGTGAATAAACATCATGCATAATAAACTAACCACAGAAAGTATTCGAAACATAACTAAATATAAATTGTTAGGGAGAATTAGAATGAAGAGACGACATATATCTTCCATCCAAAAAAAAAAAAAGTGACGACATATACTTACATATTGATGATATGGTGAAACAATAATGCAGCTCCCTAGTTTTGATGCAATGAGGGGGGAAAAAAACCACGAATCAGCAACAAATTCCGACCTTGAAACCAATAAATACTCATGAATTGTGAAACTGTGTGTCGAATATATAAGATATTGTTAAATAAACAAATTAAGTTAGGGATTGGATTGGAGAAGCCAATTTTGATTCCACTAAACCAAACCACATTCTGACAGTTTTTTTTACCTTGCTCGCATTTTTGGAAGCAGGAAAAAAAAAATTGCGAGCAAGGTACAAAACTCCGAACTAAAATTATAGGTAGAATTTACTATTACCTCTACCCTTAAATATTGTGGACTGTGCTCCGGTTTCACCTCTTAGACGATACATGTGGTTAAGAATTGTTTGGGGGATCTCTCTCCCACCTTCCAAATCTCAACAAACCCCAAACATTCCCTTTGTTTCAGCAAACTCACAACTTTTCTTTTTCTTTTGGTTGTATTAAATGATAATCATCAATGTTCATTCTCCATGCACTTTTGTTATCTTTTCTTTCATTATTCGGGTGAGGGGGAGGGGCGCTAACTAATAAATGAGATCGGATTATCTTTCTCAAATATACAAAGGCAAATCGAGAACGACACTGAAATGATATAATATAGACATATATGTTGTGTGGGTAAATTGCTGAATTATTTTATAAAAAAAATCGCATATCTCTACTAGAGTTGTTCAGTGGCTTGTTGTTGCTCATGTATGAGTTTAAGATATGTTTGTCCCAATATCCCCTCTTCCTCCATGTAACCAATTTTGGAGACCCATTATGGCTTAATCTTTCATTTTTGTCACTAGATTGAATGAATGGAAGATTTGTGAAATGTTCAAATTTTATAGGGTAAGATTATGTTGCTAATCAGAACTGCGACCTGCTATTTAACGATAAATATATTGATTTTTCCGGATGCTGACCTAGCCTGCTAACTTATATTACCACCAATGGTGCTTTTCTTAACAGGATAGAACACCTTTTAGTTTTATTACTTTTACCACGGTTAAAGGGAAAGCAAGGCGGGGTGAAAAAGGAAAAAAAGAAGAAGAAATGGGGTAGTTGCCCATCAGGAAACAAAGACCGAATAACAAATACTAAATGAGAAAGAAATAAAAAGAGATATAAAAAGGCCCCAAAATGGGAGAAAAGAAAATTCAGGCCTCTCCTCCCTTTCCTTCTTCCTCGCATTCCGCCGGGAAACTCCACAACACAAAAACTCTCACTCTCCCAAACCCATCCAAACTCTCTCTCTCTCTCTCTCTTTCCCGCAAACCGTTTTCCTTTCTTTTCTCCCTCAATCTCTTTCTCTCCCTCACAATTTTCTCGGGAATTTTTTTTGGGTTTCTGGATTCTCTCTTTCCCCTCTTCTCTATTTTTTGTTTGTGCCGGTGATTTGCTTTGCTTTCTCCCTCCCTCCCTCTGCCGGGTTCCTCCAATTCCCAAACAACACAAAACAGAGAGCGTTTCTGTGTTCACCCGGATGGCCATGTCGTCCGGTGGTAACGCAGCCTCCTCCTCCGCCAACAGTCCCCACAACCACCCGGGCCCAACCACCACGCGGCGGCGCGTCGATGCCGGCGACAAGGTCTCCACGCCCGCCGAATTCCACGGCGACACCGACGAACCCTGTGGAGGAGCCCTCGCCTGCAGCAACACCACCAGCTGTTGCCACCATCACAACCACAGCCACCGCCACCCGGTCATCCGGTACCTGCTGCTCCGCCGGAAGTTGTTCTTCTTCCTCCCGGAGGTTCTCCTGGTCGGGGTCGAGGAAGGTTGCCACCGAGCGGCTGCAATGGCGCAGGGTTTGAGATCCGGGAAGAACACGGGGAGGAGGATCGTCGGTGCCTTGATGTTTATGGCGGTTGTTTCGCTTTTCGCCAAGGTTTTTCTGCTGAGCCACCATTACAATCTTCTCCTCGAGAGCCATGGCAACGGCGGCGGCGGCAGTGCTGGTGCCGGCAGGGAGATGAATGGGTTGTTGATTCTCCAGACTTTCAAGGATGATTGGGCCATGGCGCAACGCGTCCTCGCTGAAACTCAATCCTCCATTCCCAAACGCCTCCTCGAGAAGTTCCCGGTGAGTTGTGATTCGTCTTCCAGCGAAATCCAATCCAATCCAATCATAGATTTTCCCCCATTCCTCCCACTTTCCGTTTGGTTCCCGAGAAAAAACAAAAAAAAAATATACTTTTTTTTCTGGGGAAAAAATGGTTTCTCTCGTTTTCTTCAGGCCATCTGGCACTTTTTGGCCAAAGGCGTGAGAAACTACAGTCGCCAAAAATTAACGGAATTCCAAACCGGAATAATATTCCGAGACGAGTCAATACGATTAGTGGGTCACCACTCGTCGGTGGTTGCGCGTTGAATCTTCCCCCAGTTGGGTTGGCAGGCCGGCGGTGACACGGCGGCGTTGAACGATTTTTCTTCGTCAATGTTTAGCAGATTTTAATCGTGGTTTATTTGCTTGCTTGTTTTGATGTTCTTGCAGACCCCAGAAATTTGGATGAAGCCAAATAGCGACAACTTCTACAAATGCATTTCTCGGCCCAGGAAGCCATTAAGTATGCTTCCCTAATTAGAATCATTTTACTGAATCCCTCACATTAATTATGTTTTCTCTGATTCGCCTCCTAATTAATTCCTCCCTAATAACTTATGGGATTCCGTTATGCAGAGTCCAGGAAAACAAATGGCTATCTACTTGTTCACGCCAATGGTGGATTGAACCAGATGAGAACAGGGGTAAGTCCTATTCCCAAAGAAATTAAATTCCATGGAACACTCTGTTTCTTTTAACCCCTGTGCTTACCCTTTGTGATTCTGGACAATGCTTGCAGATTTGTGACATGGTTGCAGCTGCCAAGTTGATGAATGCAACTCTGGTTCTTCCTTCCCTTGATCATGAATCGTTCTGGACCGATCCCAGGTAACCATAGATAGCAATATATATATAAAAAAAAAAAAAACTCCAGATTATGCAGGCTTAGCACTCTGCATCAGGATATTGATCTCATGTTGTTACTGTTATCTGCAGTACATTTAAGGACATTTTTGACTGGAGGCACTTCATGAAAGTGTTGAAAGAGGATGTGGACATAATCGAATATCTGCCACCACAGTTTGCAAGGAAGAAGCCTCTTGTCAAGGCTCCAATCTCCTGGTCCAAGGTCTGTCACCTCCCACCATTGTGGTAAACCCCACTTGTTCTGCTTCAAATATTAGAATTTGGTTTGACAGAAATTGTGTTTTTCTCTTCCTCACAGGCTAGCTACTACAGAGGAGAGGCAGTGCTATTGAAGAAGCACAAAGTCATGAAGTACACGCACACGGACTCCAGGCTAGCCAACAACGGCCTCTCAGCTTCAATCCAGAAGCTTAGATGCCGAGCCAATTACGAAGCTCTCCGTTACTCCCAAGAAATCGAGGATCTCGGCAAGACACTGGTCGCCCGTCTCAGGAACAACAACGAGCCCTTCGTCGCTCTCCATCTAAGGTACGAGAAAGACATGCTTGCCTTCACCGGCTGCAACCACAACCTGACGGCACAAGAAGCAGAGGAACTCCGAGTGATGAGGTACAGCGTTCCGCACTGGAAGGAGAAAGAGATAGACAGCGAAGCTAGAAGAAGGGAAGGTGGATGCCCTATGTCTCCTAGAGAAGCCGCCATGTTTCTCAAGGCAATGGGGTATCCTTCCTCCACGACCATCTACATAGTTGCAGGTCCAATCTACGGGAGCAACAGCATGGATGCATTCCGAGAGGAGTACCCGAACGTCTTTACTCATTCTACTCTTGCCACCGAAGAAGAGCTCGAGCCTTTCAAGCCGTACCAGAACCGTCTCGCTGCCTTGGATTACATTGTTGCTTTGGAGAGCGATGTGTTTGTTTATACTTATGATGGGAACATGGCCAAGGCCGTGCAAGGTCATCGGCGGTTTGAAGGGTTTCGTAAGACCATCAATCCAGACAGGTAACTAACTGAACTAACTACTAAGCGCATTGCATTGGATAATAAGCAAATGCCGAGTGTTGACATTGGTTTTGGTGTTAACTCTTGTGTGTTTAGGCAAAACTTTGTGACGCTGATTGATGAGCTGGACGAGGGTTTGATTTCATTCGATGAGTTCTCGTTGAAGGTGAAGGCATTGCACGAGCACAGGCTTGGACAGCCATATCTGAGGCGGGTAGGGGAATCCCCAAGGCTGGAAGAGAATTTTTATGCAAACCCTCTTCCGGGGTGTATGTGCAACAGAACTCAGGAGAGATTAAGTACGTTAGCGATGCTTGAAAGACGACGAGCCAATCTTGGGACTGCATCTCAGAGGTGAAAGAAGTGAAACCCTTTCTATGTTGTGGTCGGGAGATGGCGAAGGAATGGAGCTTCTCTGAAGCCGAATCAAGCTCGTTGGTTTATTAGCTAGCTTTTGGAGACGATATACTGGAAGAAGAGCCATCGCAGTAGCAATTTCATTCATGGTTTTCATAAAGGAAGAAGGAAAGACAGAAGATGCTGGCGGCAGGCATGGCTTCCCCAAAGGTTTTTCTCAGTTTTGTTTTATGTAGATTTGGATTTGGAGGGAACCCCTAACCATCATCAACTTCTAGGCTAAAAAGACGATAAACGAAGGGGGAAAAAGAGGAGGCGACTTTGTAATTTTTTTAGTTGATCCTACCTATAGTGGGTTTAGTTTATACGATGAAGTAAAAAGGAGGCACAGAAAGGCAATACAACTAATACTCTGATGAATGAACCCAGTCGAGTGGGTTAAAGGAAGCAGGAAGAAGGGTGTGGTTTTGCTTTCGTTTTTTCATTGTTCATCCAACCTATTTTTTCAAATCTTAACACTTTCTCTGTTTATCATTATTATTGACTTGGCCGGAGACTGAGCTAGATCGTGCCAATCGCCATCTGTGGACTCCGGTTGCTGGTGGTGGACAGAGGTCACTCACCCACCCCACCCACGAGGAGTCCAATGGCATTTCCTTTGGCAATAGATAATGAAGTCTACTGGACTGGATTCATGATGATGAGCTTGTAAGATTGTGTGCAATGAATGAAACCCAATAAAAAAGTTCCAAAAGGATTGCAAATGAAATCAGAGGCACAACGCCACCTTTAAGCTGATAAAACAGTGACTGATTCAGTGCCTGAAAATGGCAAGCTATTCACTACCCAAGATGCGAGAGCTTTTCCCTCTGTATCCTGTCAATTCATGCAACTGAATTCTAGGCCAAAAGATCATGGCTGTATTTGGGCAGGCAGAAAGACCCACTTCCCATTGCCCAGTTTGTCAAGCTGTGCTGCCAGGCCTAACACGAATCAATGCTCTGCTGAATTCCTAACAAAACTGATCTGGCTTACATTAGAAAGATCCAAAACCCTACCACATGGAAGGCACGTAAACCTGCTCCTTGAGATTCTGGGTCGCATTCTCCGTAGGAAACCCTCTCACAGCACCAATTGTCCATTGCGATATGATCCCAGCCGCAATAGCAAACCGAAGCTGCCTCTCCAGAACGTCCTGGTCTTCAAACATCTCAGGACAAGTAGTCAGCTTTCTCATGATGGCAGCCACAACTGCATCCCCAGATCCTGTTCTGTCGCAGGTGAACGGGGTTATGAGCACATCCTCCGTCCCAACTATGGTCCCATGAAACTTCGGACCATAGTAATGAATCCTTAACGTTCCATCCGTCACAAACAGGAACTTGAGATTGTCGTGCCAAAGTGGAGAGATCTCCTCGGGGGAGTAATGGTGGTAGTTCCTTCTGTCCTTTGTTTGCTGGAAGTTGTCAGAGTAGTACTGCGGCTTGTAATTTTTGACCCTTTCATAGTGCCTCTCGTCCAGTAGGAATTCAAGTTCTTGCCTTGACGCCTCAATGATGTGTGATTCTCTCCATGCTCTATTGATCAACTCCCGCGTCTCGTCTCGATCCTTCCATAGTGGCAAAGGGAGGTTCAAATCGAAGAAGATTAGCCCGCCGAAATGTTTGGACCATTTGATTGCTTTGTATAGGGTTGATTGCATTGACGGCGAGGATAGAACTTCCGAGTTGAAGTGGAAGATTCTGGCCTGCATCATCATAACACATCAGAAACCAGCCCAATTATGTTCTTTAAGCACCCCAAAACTGTCAATTACTATGAACAACTGAACAAGCTACAATGTATGTCCATTCCCATCTAATGCCAGAGAATAACAGAACATCATGGCCACATTCCCATGTTTCAAAGCTGTCCATTATTACCTCTTTGAGCACGGAGAGGTTCAATTCGGAGGTCAGAAGCGAATGCTCTGCAGCTTCTTTGGCCGTCTCCATCTTCAATTTCCCATTTTCAAACTTGACCTTCATGAGAGTGGCAGCCGTTCTAACGCTCTCATCGAACTTCACAGCTCGAGTCTGGACCCTCTCCTTGTTCATCATCAACACCACCTGCTCACCAAGATGATCGTCCCCAACTTTCCCCATGAAAGCCGCCCTGCCCCCCAGCCGCACGTGCGAAATTGCCACGTTTGACGGCGAGCCGCCGGGAGCCCTGGCGAACTCCGGGGGATCCCACTGGAGCATTTTCCACTCTGAGTACATATCTGGGTGCATCTGGTTGTCGTGCACCCTCACCGTCGGAACGAATTCCCTGTGGGCGGCGCCGAAGCAGCATATCAACGGCGGGGAGTCGTACGGGAAATCAATTCCGTCGTCGTATTCGCCTAATTCCTCGTCGGATTCCGGCTCCGGAGCCGCTTGCTTCGCGGTGGTCACGTCTACGGCGTCGTTTTTCTCTTCAATTGCTTTCTTCGACCGTCTCGTCCTTTTCGGCGGAGAAGCAGTGGCGGCGGGAGAGGGAGAGGACTCGGCGGTGGACTTTTTCTTCCGGCCACGGCGAGAGGGTTTTGCGGAGGATTCCATTTCCACAGCTCCGTTGGTGGTGGATTCGTTGTCGGCGCCATTGATGGTTGCTCGAGGTCTGCACCGTCGCCAATGCTGCAGGACAAGCTTAGCGAAAGGGTAGAGATCCCTTCTAGCTCCTGCAGATGGAAGCGTGAGAGAATCGATAGGGTTTAAGAAAAGAGAGGGAGATAGAAGAAATGTCGCCATGGTTTTCGCTCTGCGGCCAAGGGTTTATCCACCATTTTCGTCTTCGGCAAAGTTATTTATTATTATATCGGGTCAATTTTAACTGCCCCGACATAAGTCGGATCCATACAAACCAAGTACTGAAGACCCGACTAACCGAGCCCGACAATCTGACGGTTGTTAGCGATCGGCGACGTTGGCAAGGAGAACATCAGCCGCTGGATGGTAAGAGCTTCGTTGTAAAGCCTCGCTCTCCAGTTTCTTCCTCTTTGGTTCTCTGAGATTCGTGCTCCCGCGGATCTCGTTCGTTCTCCTTCTCCGATCCGAGCTTCAACAACAGACTGCTGCTGAAAGCGCAGAGGAGGGAAAAGCTGCCATCGGAGCTATATCGTCTGAGCCGATTCCTTCTTGTTTTCCGGTGAGAATTTCTCTGACCCTCTCTCTCAAAAAGGGTTTCCCCCCCCCCCCCCCCCCCCCCCCCCAGCTCCATTCAAGTGAAAACCGCTGCTTCTTTTGAATCATTCCCAATCGGAGAATCGTCCCTCCGCCGGCGGCTAATCAGTTAGATAATCTATTTAGCTTTCTGGGTACATGCCCAATGCAATCGAGCTCGACCCCGAGGGAATTTACCGAAACCATTTTAGTTTGTGGCGATGCGTTGAGTGTTGATTTGCTATGCTTTTGATCTTATCGAACTGGAGCAGTCTTGTGTTCTAATTGCTTAAGTAATCATAATTTCATATAGCCGATTGGTGAGTCCAGTGGTAATTGATAGTGGGTCTCATTCAGCTTTGTGTAATTGATATTGTATCATTCTTCTTATGAGGTGCAGGAAGAATAAGAGGGAAAAGAAGATGGGATTTTGGACATTCATGGAAGGATTGCTGCTACTGGCAAACGCGATGGCGATTCTGAACGAGGATAGATTTCTTGCCCCAAGGGGATGGACGCTTGCAGAGCTTCAAGCTGGGAGAAGAAGTTCACTCAAGGGCCAGATAATTGGACTCATTCATGCTTGCCAGTTCATGAGATTGCCGCTTATCATCCTCAACATCCTCATCATCGTAATCAAGCTTGTTTCTGGTTAAGAGATATTGCAGAGTTATGTGTTTGAGTGTTGATCAATCTTGCAGACTGTAACTTTCTCTGCACCTTACTGAGACTATGTTCCTTGGCTTGTGAATTGTGATATAGCTGCGTGAGCTTTATTGGGTAGAGGACATTATTATTATCAACCACATATAGCTAGCTTGGTCATCAATTAGAGACTAGAGAAACTCTTGAATGAAGCTATTTGATTGTTTTGCTTCTTAACCAGCTACCAAATGCTCAGAGAGATCAATACTAGAACTGTGAAAGATGATTGCTTTATTCTTTAGAACAACAGAACATAAGAGTACAACTAGCTGAAGCATATAACTGTGGTGTCATCTATCTCATTACAACGCAGGAGGATATGCGAATCACCAATACTAAAGGGCTCTCATTCATTCGATTGGGATCATAATCTCGTTAGTCCTGAAAGGAGCAAGAGTAAAAGGCGGATTATACCTAGCAAGCTCATACTCTCCGACTATCTTATACCCATCTCTCTCCAAGCTCTCCTTAAGCTTCTGCAACTTGTCAGCCACCACCGCATCACTCGCCACACCAGAAAACTTCATCACTCCATACTTCCTCTCGCCAATTTCCCCAATCACAACCCTCTCGTCAACCGGCCTCGGTGCCTCCTCCGCCTTCTGATACTTGGCTGGCAGAAGAAACTGCATGGTCACCATCTCCCCACCGCCTTCTTGCTTGGTCACCACGGGGGCGGTCATGGCAATCTTCTCACCTTCACCGGCAGCGGTTTTGGTGATGACGGGTGCAGTCATTGCGATCTTCTCCGGCTTGGCATTCTGTGGGTTCCCGAGAGCGCCTATGTAATTTGCCAGCAGCATAAACCCGCCATCCTTGTTGCCCTTGAACTGAGATGGGTTGTATGTGACCTGCGCATAGACTGATGGAGCATATTTCCTGATCTCGTACTCGCTGCAGGCTTTGATGAGCTCGTACTTTGGTGTTTCGACAGTGATCCTTCCCAGAACCATACCCATCTTTGAGTGTCTTTTCAGGGTCTGTAAAATGGTGTGACAAGTGAGAACAGAAAGCAATGGTGAGTTGAGCAAAGCCCACCCTTTAAGTAATGAGCAGAGGTGGCTCTTTGGCTTGTTGGGCAATGCAAAGTTTTAGAATTTATCTTGCGCAGAGTCCATATTTGTATTTGTCAGGGGGGAATGAACGTGTGGCGCAGAAAGGAAACACTGCAATGCACTTGTGGATTTGGTTCGTCCACGATAGCTATGGAGCGGTAGCGTTAGGACTAATATGGCAAGACCGAAGATTCATTCCCCCTTTCGTGTCTTTCCCTTCCAATGAATGTTGGGTTCTGTTTAGAAATTAACAGTGGCCGTATATGCCAAGAACCGACCCAAGGTGGGAAAAAGATCAAACCTTTTCTGGAAATTTTGTGAACGGGGGGATTTGGGGGATCTCAGGATAGAATTGATTTCCTCAATCGAATTCGGAAGTTATAGTTTGTATTGAGATTGATCACATCATAGATCCCTCGTTAAACAGCCCCCAATTCACAGAGCCACACAAACAAATTCAAAAAGAAAAAGGCTGTAATGGATCTCAGGAGATTACAGTTATCTTCAATATACACGGAAGTGTGTAGTTGCAGATAGATAACGCAGTATAGTATTAACATCATCATCGATCCAATGAAAAAAGAATTTTCAAAGGTAAGAGGAGAAAACAAGAGAGCATCTCAGAGAAGTAAAAAATCCCCAATTGTTATCTTCACTAGTAATCAAAGTGCAAGGATGACGATTCCGGTTTTCTCATCATCGATGCTCGTAGCTTTTTTAAAATACGGAGAAAAGAGGCAACCGGAGACGGAGAGGAAGAGAAATCAAACCTTTGGAGCGGCAGGCAAAACAATTTCAGCTGTGGGCAGCCTTGGTAGATCGGGGAGTTATATACATTTGTTCACAGACGCTGCGAAACCCTAATTGAATCGAGGTTTTCTGAGGTCGACGAGACGAGACGAGACGACACTCGACAGTCCGCCGCGAGGCTTAGTTTGGGCTAAGATCTCGGCCGTCTAGCTATTGGGCTACTTAGTTTCGATGAACTGCCAAAAGCCCATCACCTAACCTCAGAGGCTTCTTCAGCTACTTTAAACGTTGGAAGTTGTCAATCCCCATTTCCCAGTGTAGGATTCATCCTTCATCCGAAATTTGTACGAATGTTTGTAAACAGCAATTACCTACCAGCTGATTGTAGCAGTTGAACGGTTTACGAAACCGTATCAAAAGTCATATCAAACTTGTTTACGATAGAATATTTCGTGCTATATCATATCGTTAAAAACATCTCTTTTAATCTTTAAATCATCTAAGAAGAAGATTTGACTTCATGTTGACTTGAATCTTCTTTTAATCTTTAATCTTTTTCTTCTATATCTTTTTCCTTGAGTTCCAAAGGGGAAAAATCTCTTCAACTCACTCTCAAACTCTCCAAGGCCGAATTCTCTCTCCAGGTTTCGTCCTTCAAGTGTTTTCATGTCCAAAACTTAGCTCTCCCTCACGAAAAATCACATAGTTGTATTCATAACCGACCAGGGAGAAATTCACAGCCTCAAATCTCACTGCCGCGAGAAATGATTTCAAGCCGTGGAATGCCAAACGCAACCTTCTATTAAGTTAGTCCGGGGGTAAGTCACAGTTGCCATCTTGGAAAGTCTAAGCACAACCTTGAAAATCAAATTGTTTATTGGAGAGGATTAACGGTTGCCTCTGGCGTTTCTCATGGTCATGAACTCCATGGTTGCACGACTGTGAGTATTGTCGTGTGCTCTTGAGTTTCATGCTTGCTTTCTTCACTAATCACGACCATGATTTTTTTTCGTTTTTATTAAATAGAAGGGCGACCTTTTATGTTGTGTGCTAGTTGTTTTTAATATAAACAGAGAGTCGGTTGGACCAATATTATCAAGAATTTTGATGCTCGCTTGTAGGTCGATCGGTCCTCCATTCGTCCAACGGGGGGTGTGGATAACGGTTTAACCTCAGATACCGGTTGCACGGCAATTGTGAGAGTTTTCTCAAATTGTTTCGAACTAGCTTCTGGCCGGCTGGTTCGGCACGGTTACGTAAACCATGATTATAATTTTGTATTTTCCCATATGTCATGGATAACAAAGATCTTGCCCTGTGAAGATTATGACAAAAGTTACTGCACCTATTGACATATTGTAAATTAGGCTACAAATGAGTTGATTTTTGCCTAACTAGGGCTTGTTTATTAACGAGTCAGTTTAGGAATTAAGCTCATCAAGCCACTCAGTCTAGCTTGCTTACGAGCCTCGCCACTTGAACCAATATTAGATTAAGCTCAACTCATTAGTAAACTAGTAATTTCGAACGAGTTTTTTCCAATTCGCTCGTGAAAAACTTATGGGTCGTTTGCTTGAGTATTTTGGTGTGGGATTTTTCCTCAAATTCTCACTTCTATTGGATTAGGGCTAAAATCGATGTTTGGTGAAGATATGCGACTTGCTTGATGTTATTGGGGGCCATACACATGAGATTTTTTTTGTGCCAAAATCCATGGACCCCACGGATTATAAAATTTTACCTCATGAGGTTGGATTTTGTAGGAAGGCAAAAATCCATGAGGTGAAATTACCTACGCAACCTCATCAATTTTTAATATTTCCTTTTTGCTCTCATGTATATATTGTTATGTGTTTGTAATTTTTGACCAAACACTCATCGAACCTTTGTAATTTTTTTTAATTAAACAACTTGATTGTTTCAAATGGTTATTACTCTAATATGACTCTTTGATCTATTTCATTAGATAAATGATACCTAATACTTGTTTTTCTTTTCTTTTACTAAGTGAGCAAGCAATAGTTATATATGCAAAGATTCATGGTAGCTTTGCAAAGATATAGAATAGTTAGTCACATGTGTTAGTGTTGTGTAAATTTCTTATCAAACCAATTATATATCTACAAAACAATTAATACTTCAGGATATGAATGTAAATTCATCCTTTAACCAATAAATATGAATAATACAAATTCACTTTGAAATCCAACAAGCAAACAAATCATTTATAAAATCCAACACAAATCCAAAATAGAAAAATCCAACAAAATCCTTCAATTCCAAATCCATAGCTTTTCCAAAATCCCTCATTTTTAAAAATCCTACAACTTAACTCATTTGCAAGCCTATCGAAAATGTGCACATTTACGTCTTCTAGAGGAGTAAGACTAGTTATTAGCGAATTCATTTCCATATTGTATGATATGATTCATGCTGGTTGATTATTTTATGAGGTACATGTACAACACAGTGGACAACTTCTCGAATTTATTTCTTCTCTCTCAAAACAACTGACCTACAGGCCATTACACCCAGGATCGGCCCTGCCGCACAGGGCTTCCAAATTATTAGGGTCCTCCCGTTCAGGGGCTATATTATGTACAATATTAATTATTTTACGGAGTGTTGGGTTTTAATTATAAATTTAAAACATAGCAAATTAATGTATTGGGCTTTGGTTATGTGTCTAATACAATAAAAAAAAAATTAATCTCGACTTTTAAAAGAGTGAATGAACCACATTTTGAAAATAACGGCTTGCACATCTCCTAGAAAATCAATCTCTGTCATACCCTCCAAATAGACCATCAAAGCGCATCCTAGAACGCCATTAATTCAGCCAGATACGGGTTCGTCAAACCTGCATAAACAATTCTTGCACAAAAAGAATAGAGCTCCCTTGATCCTGTACTACCATTCCACCAAATAAATGTGACTCCAAACTAACCGCACCATCAACAAAACAAATGAATGTCGCAGTTAGCGCAGCCTCCTTAACTCGACCCCTCCAACAGGCAATCGCCCTATCCCTAGATCCGGCAACTCCAACCATTCCTTTACCTGAAATTGAAATTGACAAACTAGTGAACCTGTAGTATACTGCAAATGATCAAATACTACCCAATTCCTAGATTTCCATATCCTTCATAGCAAGGCTACTACATGCATAATCCTTCCCGATTCGGTATTCCTCTCAACAATACGTTTAAACACCAAAGCCATATTCAATCCATCAAATCTCTGCCTTCCCCCATTAAAGCACAACTCAACCATAATTCCTCTGCCACTCTACAGGTCAAGAATAAATGTTCTAAAGATTCTAAAGGATCATTGCAAATAGGACATTCTACCGGATCAACACAACCCATTTCTCTCAAGGCCTCCATTGTAGGAAAAATACGACGCATTAACTGTCAAAGAAAGAACTTCAGCTTGGACGGAATTGGAAAGCTCCAAACACTTTTCCAGAAACTCATATCCCAAAAAGATACTTTCGTCTTCCACCTTCCATGCGCACATTTTAGCTGTACTGTAGTGTGATCCCGACTTCACAGAATAACACCCATTTACCTCATTCCTCCATATCAATTTATCTAGGATTGGCATTCGCGGCAACGGGATGTTCAAGATTCGTTGTTTTACCTCAATTGGAAAACAATTATCCAAACATTCCTGGCACCAAACCCCTTCCCCAGGCCCAATCAATCACTTACCGTCGATGATGCCAATAGTGGCGCAATGGGTAAGACAGGTAGAGTGCATCAGATTTCGATCTTTGGCCGTGACTCGAAAACTAAACAAGGAACTAGCTGAGCAATGAGACTATGGCTTCTAAGATGACCCGGATCTAAAGATACTTTTACATTCTCTGGTTATTTAGTATTTACCAGCTCAGGGGATGCAGATGAGAATTGCATGATTGATAATATCTCATAAGGTGTAACAGTGTGAAACTGATGGGAGTAATAACATGAATGATGACCTTCAAAACAATCGAGGAGAATGAACATCATTGGGTTCCATGAACAACACAGAGGTTTGAAATACGTGACGACTCTAGGCTAAAGTGAAAATTGCAAAGTAATGAATGCTCTACGGAAAAAGGCTACATATTTGAACAATTGAGTCATCATGATGAGTTAATCAGCACAGTGAATACAAACCCTGCAAGGCTGCAAAGGTAGAACCTCCAAAGTCCAAAGTCCAAACACATCAAAGCTACAAAATTAGAGAAACCCCATTGAATTTACACAACCACAAAATCAAAATCTCACAGCATCCATCCTCCACCTGAAATAACCTGCAAACACTACTGCTTGCTACCATCTTGGATAGCTTTATCATCCACAACCATCACTCTCACTTTCTCATACTCAAACTCAACTGGATGCACAACAGCAGAAGAAGAGGAATTATAACCTTCCTCTCTCACCACACCACCCCTCATCTTTCCAAACAAGCCACAAACTTGCAGCGCCATGAATGCTCCCAAAGCTCCACACCCAACTCCCAATGCCAAAGCAGCAATTACCCGCACCACACAGCCTCTTCTGTTCTCACCATCTGCAGGTTTCAGATCTGAAACCAAACCCTTTGGATCCAAGGGCTGAGAATGCATCCAGTGAGGGAAATGCCTGAGCTGAAAGCTCCAGGAGTAGAGAAAACAAGTATGGGATGAATTGCCATTGGAAGAGCTCAGCCCTACAATGACTTCCTGCTCATTCCACATCCTGGTCAAATCAATTGGGTAGGAGAGAAGTGGGTCAACCGGTTTCTCTCCACCAGATTGACTCAACCTGACTTCCAATCTCTTTGACCCTGCCTCATAATCCACCCAGGAGTGCAATCGCTTCCCGCTGCTCAACAGTGCGTTGGCCGACGAAACGTTTCTGACTTTAACCGAGACGAATCCGCCCACATCGATTCCGACATGGTCGTCGTCCAAATCCCCGTGGTTGAGGTCTTTCGAGGAGCCGTACTCAACGGCGACGATTCTTCTGGAGGATTTCGGGCCTGATCTGAGAGAAAGCCCGAAGGGTGTGTTGCTTAGGAACAGAGTGGCGTTGAACTCGGCAGGGACCATAACGAAAGCCAACCCGTCTCCCGTGTTATCTGGGGACATGAGAAACGAGAAGTAAGTCGAGAAAGAAGACGCGGAGGAATCGCTGCTGTTGGCGACGAGCTTGATGGGTTTCTTGTACATGACTCGCCCACCGCTGGAACTGACTGAGTGAGTCAGCTGAATGGCAGGGGAAGAAGGAGTAGGAGAAGACCCATTAGAGCTAACGAGCTCGGCGTCGCCATAGAGGGCTATGGTTGAGCTAAAGTTTGGATTTTGATCGAAATTTGTGAAGGAAAAGGAAGAAGTTGGGTCTGCAAGAAGCAGATTGAAGTGGAAGAAGAGTAAAGGTAGAAATTTTAAGCGGGTGAGAGCTGGAGACAGGGCCATGGCTGAATCTGGAAGGGGATTACTCAGAGGTTGGTGATGGACTAGGGTTTGTGGAGAGGAGGGGGATGATAACCCATCTGCAAGTTTGGTGAGAACTGAGAGGGAAGTCCTTTACCTTTTCCTTTTCTTTCTTTTAAGGAGCTGTGGAGAGTGGAAGTGGAGGAGTGCAGAGAACAGAGTAGGGGATGGGGGAAGAAGTAAAGAATCGAGGGGGAAGTTGGGGTTGGAGGTTGTGAAAATTAAATACGTTTACTGCTTTAGACTTTACTCAGTGCTTCTGTTCGTTCTTCTGCTACAGCATATGCTACTCTCTCTGTCTGAGTGGTTGTTTGTTTGCTTGCTGGCTGACCGACGGAATATTTTATTTTTATGGGATGATATTGCAATTATGAATTTATGACCCCCCTTGAATTCGATGTTTGCAACTGGGTCCTTCTTCCTTGCTTATATCAACACTAATCAATGAGCACTTATTAGGTCACTGATGATTTTCTGTACCACTCTTCAAATTCCACTTCGCAGGCGCGATATCAAGAGGGGAGGATAACCGATTCGGTAAGGGTTTCGAGGTCAAACTTAGAGGTAGAACCATTACTACTAGGGTTAAGTTTATGAGATTCTTACACAAATGAAATTGGTATGCAAGTCGGGATTCATGAAGGTAGTTATATAGACGAGCTCCATTGTGATACTCCATCTGATTTAACAATGTGACAATATATGTCTTGACATCCAAAGACGGTTTCTATTACAGCCATCCAAAGAATGTATGATTCAAAAGTATAGTGGGCGAAAATGAAAATTTGATAAAGAATGGGGTGCTGATAATAGGTAAATTAACCAAATCCACGCCATAGTTGTCAATTACTCAGTTGGCAGGTTGTGGGTTGAAACTTGAAAGTGGAAAGGACTTGAAAAATAAATAAATAAAAACAAAAGTTGAAAACCCTATTATACTAATAAGAAATTTGTTGAAAGCATATTCGCCACTGTATCACCTGAACTCCACGCTCTTGCCTGAATGGCTCACAGTCACAGAAACGACACCTGGCCAAACCGTTTCGCGCGTAGTGCCTACGCTAATCATGGACAAAGGAAACTCAAAGTACTCAATTCACCTTTTTTGTTTTGTCCAATATTTGTAAAAATATGCTTTTCTTTTTCATTTTCTACGAAAAAGAAAAGTAAAAGAAGGTAAAACCAAGCTTTGGAAAGGAAGTTTGATTCATTAGAGAGAAAAAGGCAATCGCAAAAAGCATTTGCGAGCGGACCGCAGCACAGGCATAGCACAACACAGCGGCGGATAGCTAAAAGTGAAGATGAGCGGTGGGCACAAAGCATCCGCCACCACTTCTCCTTCTCCGTCGTTACTCGTTAGGTTAGCCTCATCCATGTCTCAACTATACATTACACTATACTATACCTAATGTGTTTCGGAGTTAGGACTTGAAACTAGAAATGTCCTTTTTTACTATTTTTTCCAACTGAAAATTTTGTATTGTGTAATAAACTAATATTATGGTAATAAAATCAGAACAATTGAGTTTTATTGTAGTGATAACACGAAAGCTCATTAATGTCACGTTAAATATTATATCGATCTATTATGCTTTGAATTCAACATGCAAATCTTCAGTTATATTATTATATCTTCAATTCAGCAGGCGAACCTTCAGTTATAAGACTAGACGACATAATAAGTCATGAAATCAAAGCATCCAACCATAAAATATCCATTAGTCCATATAAAAAAGCACAACACTCTCCAAATCATTCACCTCTGACACATCTACTAAGCAATAAAAAAACTAACATAATTTTGTTAACAAGGGTGAAAGAAGCGACAACGAAGGGTGAATGGATGTAAATAAATTAATGTTTAGTATGAGTTGCCATTAAATTACATTTAAACAAATTATATTTTGAAATATTGTTCCTTTCGTTGATATATTAAAACATAATTCTTATATTTTTATATATAAAGAAATACTATTGGCGGAGTGGGTATGGGTACGAGGCCAGACAAGAAGGCTAAAACGATACCCTCTTCATTAAAGTTTTTGCAGGTTTTACCCATATCTGTCACATACCAGTCAGTGTGGAATTTCCCAGCATTGACTACATCAAGGGCAGTCGAATACCCCCAATAGTGGGTGTGATTGGCATTCCTAATCCAAAATTATGATTTTGCTAGTGAAATAACTCACTTGTTGAATCTTTTAACTTGTAGTAGATAGTAGAATAGGGCATCAACTCAACCATTTTAATGTTTACTAGATTTTTTTCCCCGCGCTCCGCGACGGGATGAGTGTGACCTTTCTTTCAATAGAAGTTCTCAAGTTCAGGTTTTGGATGCGACCTTAGTTAATATAGAAGTTCTCAAATTCACGTTTTCAAGAACTATCTAAAACCCATATGAAAATTTGATAGTTAGAAAGAATTCACTTTGGCGCCATGATGGACAAATGGATAAAAATTATATGCATATTTTCCGAGTCCGAATATTGTATTTATAACAATCCAAGTTCAAGAATTTTATGAATGAAACATGAAGAGTTTAAGCAAAATTGAGTTGGATCTTATGAAAGACTATAGAGAATATTGCCTCACTTGATAAAGCAGTATACTCGAACTAATTAAAATTCTTATGAAAGACTATCTATGTATGTAATGCTAATGGTCCGATAAACAAAACATACATATCTGGTACAATTCTCGAGTACTTTAGAATTAGAATATGGTATAAGATAAAAAGGAAAAGCATGCCGAATTTATTGATGCAAATCTTCACAACGGAGTCGAAAGAGTTTGGTTGATCTTGGTTGGTCGACAACAGAAACAAATGACAATAAAAAAGGTTATGAACAACACCAACCACCTTCATTTGGCTGTCTCTCACTTTGCACGTGTTCTGTTCACACAGAGAATGATACATGTGTTGTGAAGTCAAGTCTTCACCTAACCTACTAACAAAGCATATTCCAGATCAAGACACCTTATTATAATTAGCACTCTGATACAATGGTTCCATGCCCTGATTTTCACGTGTTCGATATGTTTTGCTTGCATGCCCACCAGATGATAGCCTGAGGAACAGAAAAATTGCAGGCCTTGTAAGCTCTCGATGGTTTTGCGGAAAAGAGAGACGTTATCCAAAAGTCTAGGGCATTTGAGGAGAACATCTTTTCAAATGAATCATACCGAGAACAGAAGCAGCAGGAAAGGGAGGACATAAAAGAACATTCAAATAGGCGCACAATAACAATGATGTAGTAGATTAAATTAAAATTCAGTGCTTAACAAACGTGTGAGTGATTAAACATCAACTATCGTTTGATTCCATAAACGGAAGGGCAATTTGCCAGAGGTTCAAGAGGAACCTTCATAAGTAATAAAACATGGGGACATCAAATGGAACTACTGGGTGACTATAGTGATTCATCTCCAAGACCCAGCAAACTCTGAATACAGTAGAATCACTATGAAGACCGTAAACAAACAGCTGCGAATTCAGTATTACCCACTTCTAAAGCAGACTTGTGTGCTGTCATTTCGCAGGGATAGGACGATCACGACTGACCAAGCTCTTTCTAAAGTGAAATTCTAGCCATTGTCACCAAGGAAAAGAGAGAAAATAGACTTCACTCTACTGATGCTGGGAAAAAGAGAGTACCCCATTTAAAATTAATTAATTAAGACTGATAACCTCAAGAGAGAAAGGGAGTGAGAGCACAATTACCTAATACAACAGGCCAATCTCTGGATTTTGATCTTCTCCGAACCCATTTATACTTGTCCCTCAATGTAAAAATCCCAGCATCAAAAGAACAAAGAAACAGAGGAACTAATCAGTAACAACAATGATCACAACAAACCTGAAACGCAAAAGAAGAAAAAAAGTAGAGGGAAAGACAGGGAGTTGACGCGACCTTTAGCATAAGAGTTTATGAAAACTTGCGGATCTGTACAGTCAGTAGTCTATACTGGTCAGAAGAAGGCGCAAACAGACGACGCATTCTTCATCCTCACTGGTGCAGGGAAACATCAGATGGCGGGCTCCTCAATCCTCATCCAATCAACCCCTTCATCCTCATCGAAATGGCAAAAAACCTATCAGATCCACACAACTCATAAAACAATCCTCGATTTAAGATTCCGAAAATCACCAACAATCCCTCAAACAAAAGGATGAAAAGAAAGATGTGATTATATACCGATAAATCGAAGATGGCCCAGAGAACAAAAGTAGCTAATCATCCTTTCAACTACTTGCAATTACAAACAGAAACACAGGATCCAAACGATTAAGGGACTTGCAAAAAGAGAAAAGCAAACTCAACATAGAGAGACGGATAAATCACTTGGGACGAATACAAAACCTGCGAAACTGGATCTTCTCCAGACCTCTCAACTGTCCTCCAGTGGGTCTGGATCTCCTCCAGATCTCTCAAACCTTCTTCTTCGTGGCTTTCAACTCCGCCCTTCTCCCAAGAAGAGAGATGAGAAATCCCAACGCAGAGAGGACACCGAGGGAGAGAGAGAGAGAGCAGTCGGAGAGTTGAATAACAAAAGGGGAGAGATTAACATGCTAAAGAGAAGCAAAGTTTTCTTTAAGCACCAAGCTGAAGAAAAAGAAAAGAAATAGATCCTCTCAATTAATTAATGCCTAAGCCTGCACAAAACAGTAATAGCATCTCTCAGCGTCGAACAACGCAAGGACTTTCCAACCCCTCCCAGAGACACCAAAAACCGGTCTTTTCATACAGTAGAGAAAAAGCATGTCAAGGTATCTCTCTGTATCTAGAAAACCCTTTTCTGTTTCTCGAACGACCCACCTCTCCACTGTCCAGGCATGTCACTCTCATCCACACATCCACAAACCCGCCAGATCTCCCACCGCTCAATGATCCATCCCCAGCAGAACACCCAAAGCAACTGAATAAGCCTCGATCCAAGCACCCGCTTGGGCCAAAGCAGCATATAGATCTCTAATGACCAACGCGCGTCAGAGCCACCAAACGACCCCAATGCAGAGATACTGAGCAACACAACTCCTTTCAATCAACTTTTCAGTCCCTCTCTTGGCCCACCATCTCTGAGCTATCCCATCTCCCAGCACAGTCTCTCCCAAACCCGCCAGATCTCCCACCACTCAACGATCCCTACCCAGCAGAACACCCACGGAGTAACTGAAAAACCCTCGATCCGCGTGCCCGCTCGGGCCAAAGTCAAATATCGATCTCTGATGACCAACGCTCGTCGGGGCCACCAAACGACCCCAAAAAAGGGCAGCCAGAAGGCAAAGACCAGTCCCACCCTGACCGAGCCCCCAAACTCCGTCAGATCCCAATGAGGCCTCACCCAACAACAGCCCACACGCCAGCCCACGCCAGTTTGAAACAGTAAATCTCAGTCACGTTGTACAGTAAAAGGTGTCTGCGTGTACAGTACACGGGCATGCGGCGGGTTTCTTTCTTTCAATATTGTACACTTGGTGGATGATTGAGTCTTTTATAAGGAGTTGTCTAGTAAATGCACTGGTGTATAAAAGCTAGGTAGTGGAAAAAGTCATCATCATAAGGTTGAACTAGAATCAATAACGTTAATTATAGAGTTATCACAGTGGTAAGGAGAGG